TGGATCCAATAAAAAACTTTTAGCTGGGGCCACGCGCTTTGCCAAGCAAGCACGTCCGTGGCCGAATGGTTACCACGCTTAACTGTCGCGTGGAAGGTCTAGGTTCAATTCCAGTCAGCGGAATGTCCTTTTATTCTTTCAACTTGGTGTTCTCGTAAGTATGAGAACATTCTTGTCTGATCGAGTTTTGAATGTTCTACGCGCCGAAAGTTCTACGCCGAATGTTGCAGATACCCACGAGGGTACATAAGGGACTCCGCACGGCGAGTGGAGTCGGTCTCACCCCAGCTCTCGATCCTGCTGTTTCGCCGACATCGACGCCTGCGAGGCTAGAGTTTCTCTATTTTGTTTGGGGCCCAAGTTTGCCCCATTAAACATTCCTTTTTTTAAATTACACACCGCCTTATCGTTTGTCATTCGTGACAATATTCAGCCTTGAAGCAGCCCGTGGGCCTCTCTAGTCGTACTGGTGAAAAAGGACGGAACGCTTCGATTGTGCGTAGATTACCAACGGCTCAACGCGGTGACGAAGAAAGACATGTATTTGCTCCCCCGCATCAACGACGCACTGGACCTTTCCTGCTGTTGATGCAGGGAAATCGTTAGATAATCGTGGCAACTGATTATCTCGCCGGGTACGCCGAGAAAAAAGCACTCGTCTCGGAAACCGCCGTGGAAGTAGCCAAGCTCTTCGTTATCGTCCTCCGACTCGGCACTCCCAAGTCCTGGACCGAGGCTCATTGTTCATGGCGCAACTGACACAAGAGATACTCCGCCTAAGCCACACCAACTACTGTCGAAAAATGGCCTGCAGACCAATGGGCTGACGGAGCGACTAAACAAGACCATCGCCGTCATGTTCTCGATGTACGTGCAACGCAAGACGTGGAATGAGGCGTTTCCCTACGTCACGTTTGCGTGCAACGCAGCCGTTCGAGAACAACTGGGATTACACCTTTTAAGCTGGCCCACGGTAGAAAGGTGAAGACCCAACGCCGCCCAGCTGGTCACCCCACGGGCAGAAGAGGTACGCCAGTTAGCCCGCCTTCGCATAAAGGACCAACAACGTGTTGACGCAGGCCGGTATAACCTTCGTTGCCACGACATGGAGTTCAAGCCCGGAGACAGGGTTTGGGTGTGGACGCCCAATCGCCGCCGCGGCCTCGGCGAAAAACTGTTAAAACGCTACTTGGGACCTTCCAAGGTCATTCATCGCCTTGGTGTCTTGAACTACAAGGTGCTCCCCGACCCAAAGTGGTCCGTGTACCGTATTTATTCGAATATAGGTCGACCTTTTTTTTTCGGAAATGTTGTCAAAAATTAAGGGTCGACCTATAATCGTGACCAAAGAATTTCGACCTAATTCGCCGACCAAAATTTGAAACCCTATCGAAGGTATGGAGCTATCAATCACCTAGCCGGCGTTGCGGTAGAGCCGCGCGGCTTCTTGTTTCAAAAAGCTTTTGATGCACAAAAACAACCGAACAGCAGCAGCCGACAGCCCGCGGCCGCCGGCTAGGGCTCTCGCGCACATTCCTCGGGCGTCGGGCTTCGGTTTCGCCATCACGCCTGTAGCGTTCCCCTTGCTGGGCAAGGGGGAAGGGGAGGGAGAGGAACGCGAAGCGCCGTGCACTTTGCCCTCCTATGCGCTCCATTCCCCTCTTCCTCGCAAACGCGCAAAAAAAAAAAAAAAAAAAGAAAAACAAAGGTACTTTAGTTTTTTTTTTTCTTTTTTTTTTCGGCGGGTCGCGTGTTGCTTACGGGGCTCGCAGCGTTGCTCGTGTCTTTGTATTTGTTCTTTCGTCGCTCGCCCGTCTCCACCTTCTTTCGTTTCTTCTTGTCGTCATTTTACAACGGTGTCAGTGAGGTATTGTTGCCAATTTGCGAGGATGTCTACCAAGCTGACGAAGCTTCGGACAACGATATGTGCGGAAGTTCTGACGATGAATAAGTTTTTGACATCGCCCTATGATTTAGCTGAGAGTGCTGTAAATAAGGGTTTGTTTCTTTTGCCCTAACTTTCCCCTGTTGCTTAAAAAAAAAAAAAAAAAAGGTCGACCTATAATTGAATTATTTTTTTTTATTCTCGGTGGGCTCAATAAATAGGGGTCGACCTATTTTCGGGTAAATACGGTAGTTTCTTTATTTCGGGTTACCCGCCCGAAGGCATTATTGCAGGGGAGGCCTATATAGTCGTGAGGGTAGGAATACACTCGTGCATATGGACCAAAAAAAACAAGGAAACACAAGCATGCAGGAAAACAAAAATGCAAGCCTGGAATATGATAAAAGCCACATTGGTAGCTCGCATTCCAGGTGCCTGCTAGTTTGACTCAAGCTGTTCTACGCGCTTTAGGATTGTGACACCGCATGGTTATTTCGGCTCACCATACTTTTTTTGGCCATGTTCCTTTCGCGTTGCTTTGAGACGATGCGCTTTTAAACGGGTGCGGGATAATGCAGGGCCAAACAAGCAACGCTCAGTCACAAACTTTTAGAAGATTTGCTCCGGCTGTAACTTTTATCATTTCGTCCTGCTTTCTCGAACGTCGCGTGCCTCGAACGCATGACGCTCGAAGCTTCTTTGCCGATTTTTCAAGGTAGTCTTGCACTCTAGATAAGTAGCTGCGCAGGAGCTTGTCGAGTCGGTCTCACTCTCGCTTGCTTTTACACCGCCAAATCGCCACCTGCTTTCTGCTGTCACGACGTCCGTTCTTTATTTTGTTTGGCACAAGTTCGCCGATTAAGCCTTTATTGTCAGTTCACTGTTCATCCTCTAGTTGCCTTTATTCGTGAGGATAGAAGTCCCACCTTTCCTCTTTGCATGGTTCAAGCAATGAGTTTTTTTCGTTTTATGCGCGTTGGAATTGCAAAATGAGAGTTTTGCACAGTCGGCTTTTTCAGACGTTTGATACGCAACAAGTTTAGTGTTTCGACTCACAAGAAATGCCCATAGCACGGCGCTGTCTAGCGAGGGCAATTGAGTGTTTTGCAGCAAAAGGACCGAAACGCGCAAAATGAGAAGGTAGTCGGCTTTATTCGAGCAAACACATGTCGAGGGAACGGAAGTTTAACGTCTCAGACACTCGTGAATCAAGCTTTGGAGCACTAGGCCTAGTCTAGGCCAAGTTGCGGACGTGATGTAAGCATCAACGCGCAGGGAAAAATCTTTACACGCTTCTTTGGGTACCGCTAAAAGGTTGGCTAGCCGCAATCCTTCCTTGTAGATGTAGCAACATTGCAGGAGCATGGCAGATAAAAACTGCTCATCACGCGAAACTAAGAAAGACTCGAGAAAATTTTCTGTAATGTGCGTATACACAAACTCAACTCCTACGTCACGCTGCGGTGGTGGCGCATCGGGCGCACTTCCGGTCTGGGGCGGTGGGCAGAAGTCGCCGTGCGAGACAGGCATTCTTGTGTTCTTTTCGGAGAAACCAGATGAAAAACCTGCATTCTCGTCAAAATGCTGCGACAGGGGCTGTACCAAAAGAGTCTGGAAAGGTTTGAAGATCAGTTTTCATGTGTTTCTACCCGCTCCGTTCGTCCGAGTACGTGGATAGTAGCCGTGAAAAGGGTTAACTAGACGCTGTCGAACTACGATTGCTTGCGCGGGCAACACTTTGTGGTCGCCAGAAGTATTTGTTTTGTTCCATGAACGAGAGAAAACCGGCAAGTTGTCCGGGCCACCCGCGGGTTCAGTGCGTCTTCAAATTCACACGGCCGCCTGATCGTTCGAACTTTTGTCTGCTGTTACGAATTTATCTGCTTTCTGTCGTCTGCTCGTTCAAACAAAAGCGGCCCGTAGACCAGACTTTGACCCGGTGATTGCAATAAGAAGTAATTGCAGGCCTCAAAAGACTTAAGTAGGCTCGGTGTAAAGATACAAAATGTTGATCATTGGTACCAGTGGCCATCGCCGAGTTGTAATGCCCGATTCTACTTGCAGTTTTCAGTATCGACGTCCACCATCTCAGCTACGGTCCACGCTTTTGCAGCCCAAGCGATGTCGCGACTAAAATTAGTGAGGAGAATCTCATCGTGTGAGTCAGGCTTTAGCGCCCACCTTGCGGCGTCCACGTGAAATGAATCGCCACAAGTCACATTATTCACGCAAAGTTTTGCCTCATTAATTTTGCTGAAGCCGCTCAAGTAGTCAGACATTGGTAGGAGGACGTAGAATCAACAATTCCAACCCGAAAAAGAGCACGGGGACTCCCACCGACGCCTAAAACTGAAAACAACGCAATTCAATGGTTTGTTTATGGGTGACGGCGGGCTTCTTGCCCACTGGCCACGGCGCATGCGCAGCGCCGGTGGCGTCCGCTAGGGGTGCTCCGGTTTGTTTGTAAACAAGAGTTGGTGTATACCAGCCCACTTACCTTTCAGCGTTACTGTACTGAAGTAACTTTCCGAGTCGGTTATGAAAAGTGTAGAAGAGTGCAGCGACAGTAGTGCTTCCTGGAAGGGGCAACACCACCTATGGCTACGTAGTTACAGGGCTCTTCCAAATGATAGCGCATAAAAAAATGACACCGTAGATTAAAAAAAAAGCATACAAGGCACATGTATAAGAGAAATGTTTGAAGAAAAGCATGACTTCTGTGCGGAAAAATAGGGTAAACCAAACTTGTTCTTTTGTCCCCTCGCTGCGACTTTGGACATTGTCAAGTGGGTGGGGTGCTCTATCGTAGCTGAATGAGACCTGGGACAATCGCTGAGGGAGAGCACCCAAAAGTAGAACTGAGCCCCGACCGAGCCCCTTCTCTCGAAAGCTAGTTGACCAGTACCTCGACCTTGTAAAATTGAAACATTTCCCTCCCTGAATAACTGGTTGCCCCTCTTTGGACATTGGGTTGAGGCACCTTGGCAGCATAGTTGGTGACTGTAGCAGAGTGAAAGGCAACTCTGGTGGGAGTTCCCTCAAGGTCAGAGTTAGGAATGGCAGGATGCACACACGGCAAGGAAACTTGTTTGTCAAAAGCAATGTCTGTGTGCAGGTCCAGGAGCCCCTGATGGCGAGCGTGTACTTTGTGGACTACGGGGACTACAGCATGATGCGGCCGTCGGAGCTGCAGCCCCTGTGGCGCCGCTTCAGGGAGCTGCCCGTGCAGGCTGTGCCCGCTTCGCTGGACAGTGAGTATTCCTACTTCTCAATTGGCTTGGCCCTCATGGATCCCATTGCACATACTCCTGGCTCTTCTCGCACGTGGGCTTCCTCTTTTCGAGCAAGCGGTTTCGAGATGGCATCGCTCGCCTGGTTGGAGCCTTGGACACCAATTGCAGCAGTGATGAGACTGTTATCAAAAGATGTGGGAAGTTGGTTATTTTGACCTGCCCACAACCAACTCTTGCATGCAGGATGGAAGGGGGCACCATGGTGGGACAGCAGTGGATCAACAGCTTGATTATTGCCAAACTTTGTACTAAGTTGCTGATGAGCATTCCATTTCAAGAAGAATTGTTTGATTTTCGTGTCCTTTAACTCTTCCCTTTTTAATCGATGGATTTCAAACCCTCATTTTAGCGTGTTGAGCGTCGTTTTTAGAAATGTGACGCCTTCTAGGATATTATGGAGGAACTCTACTTTGAGTTTGGGCTTTTCCACGATGATCTGTTTGAGTAATCTGAGTGATTGCATCAAGCGGGGCGTCGCTGGCCAATGCTCGTCGGACTCGCGCTGCACACATATACAGCCTATAAATAGTTAGCCAGAAAAATATGATTCTTCTTGCAGAATTTTTCGGTCTAAGCAAAACAAGGGTGAAAGGCGGGACGTTTAGGCGATCCCTCGGTGGATTCTACAGGTTTGCAAGGGCACGAAACCAAAGTGGGAGCCCAGCTGTTAATGCAGACAATCAAGTTGAAGATGCAGCTGGCGGAATTTGGCACTGCTTGGAACTGAACCCGAACGATTAGGCTCCAATCAACCTCGACGGCTCGAAAAAGATTTCGATTATAGCCCCAAACCAGCTTCTGTATTGCATAGACCAAGCCAGTTTTGAGTTGGACAACTGCACCGACCCCAGAGTCCGACATGTGGCCACGCTTCTGCCATGAACCGTCGTAACTGACGCAGACATCAAGAAGGTCCTTTCTGTAGTGATGACACGACAGTTCTCACTCGCGTGCCCCGCGGCAACGCGCCCGTGCTAGTGTGCATGCTCGGGGTTATCTCTTGAGTTCGATAGAAGTGATAATAAAACACTTGGGTTCTGGACTTCGGTGTGGCTGGTCGCTCCTTCCCTGCGAGACATGGTGTCAGAAGTGGGATCCGTCCCGAAGGAGCGACGCAGCGAGTGAGCCGTCGACGTGGCGCATCCTGCAACGCCCGCCATGGCGGACGAAGACGCTAAGCCTACGCAGTTCTGCACTGCCGGTATCCAGCCGCCTCCGAAGTTCGACTTTTCGAACCCCGGCGAGTGGAAGAATGGGTTTTCCTGTTCGACGACTACTGCTATGCTTCTGGGCTCTACCAGGCGCCGGGCGAAGTGCAAGTCAGGACACTGCTGTACGCCATGGGCTCCCGTGAGGCTCGTCGACTCCTGGACACGTTGGCCTTAACAAGCGACGACTGGTGCTCTCTTCAAGCGGTGGAGACGAAGCTCACCGACCACTTCATACACCCGGTCAACGAAGTCTACGAAAGCGTGCGCTTCCACCGTCGCGTCCAGGCTGAAGGCGAGTCAGTAGACGACTTTTACACTGCACTACATACGCTCGTCAAAAAGTCCAATTACGCCTCCGCGGAAGTCGAAGAACGCCTCGTCCGCGATAGATTCGTCGTCGGTCTTTTGGACTCTAAGCTGGTAGACAAGCTATGTCGCACGCCAAAGCTCACACTCGAAGACGCGAGACGTCAGGCCCGTATTCACGAAGACGCCATGAAGGCCCGGTCTGAAGTTTTCAAGAAGGAACCAAATCCTGCCATTGTGGTCTCCGAAGCAAAAGTCCGAAAACGTCTTCCGAAGTCACGACGGCGTTCCGACTTGTCGGGGGAAGGCGCAACGAGGACTGCCAAGCCTTGCTCAAGCAACGGACGCTGCAGGTTCTGCGGCAGGTCACCTCACCCCCGCTCCGACTGTCCGGCAAAAGAGGCAAGATGCAGGTGGTGCAAGAAAGTTGGACACTTCGAAGCCGTCTGCGAAAAAAAAGCCATGGGATCTGTCTAGCTGCACACAGTTGCGGCAGGCGCCCGTACCAGAGCCAAGTTCGCAACCGTGGCCGTCAACGGACACAACGTGAACTTCAAAGTGGACTCTGGAGCGGAGGTGACCGTGGTGTCGAGTTCATTCCCTGGAGTACCGAAAAAGCTTCGTGCACCAGAAGGAGAACTCACGGGCCCCGGAAACCACCCCCTGAAAGTACTGGGCACGTTCCCCGCAGCGCTGCAATGGAGGGACAAGTCGACCGTGCAGGACATTTACGTCATGCCTTCACAACACCCTCCTCTTCTCCGCTTCCCAGCAATACAAGCGCTGGGAGTCATTCAGTTTGTCGACAATGTGGTGACACCAGCGGTGCTGCGGAGAGACAGGCTTTTCGACGGTCTGGGGGAGCTAAAGGAGGAGTACGTCATCCGGCTTCGACCTGGTGCCAAGCCCTTCGCTCTAAGCGTGCCGAGGAGGGTCCCGATCCCGCTGCACGACGTCGTTCGTGGTGAGCTCAAGAAGCTAGAGTCCGAAGGAGTTATCCGCAAGGTTGACCGCCCCACAGACTGGTGCGCGGGCATGGTCGTCGTTCCAAAGACAGGAGGAGGCTACCGCATCTGCGTAGACCTCACGCGCCTCAACGAAGTAGTACAGTATAGACCACTTACAACGTAACCAGTTATAGTGCAGGACCGGGTATAACGCGGTTTTTTTAAACCACCAGTTCACCTCCCATAGAACTCCATGTGATTACATACTGCTTAAAATGCAGGCGCGCGAAGGGAAATACCGGTTACAGTGCGGTTTTTGGCACAGCCCGCTGACCGCGCCGACGACCGGAGCAGCGAGCTCGCTTCCCTGTGCGACACTAGATAACGGCGCTGACGGTGCGAGCCACAAGCTGCACTCGCGGGGCAAGGAGGTTGCTCGAAAACGCGGGGAGAAGCGAAGAGAGAGGCTTCAGTTGCCACAGCGACGGAGGGACGCACACACGAGTCGTTCACGTGCGTGCGTCCCTCCGCTGCGTTGAAAACAAAGAAACAAACAACCGCAACGACAGACCAATCGCAGGTCGAGGAGAAGTGTTCGCGCGCGTTGCATGCCGGTCGCGGGCCGGCTGCTTCTATTCCGCAAACACGGCGTCGGTTGTGATCGCCGTCGTAGACGGCGTGCATCTCATCGTTCTGCATAAAAGCGCTATCCTTACTGTGAATTTTCGTTGTGTGTCGCTATGATAACCCAGCACGTACTAGAAGGGAAGATCCACCTACTCGTGCGGCGATGTCGTGGCGGCGCTCTCAAGACGGCAGAAACGCCCGTGTCGTCGTGTTTGTTTACTTCGACTACAGTGGTGATTTCTAAGCATTTGTGTCCTCGAACATAGCCCGGATTTCTTATTTGGCGCATTTCATGCGTGTGCTAAAGTTCAAGGTATTACTGGCGCGTACCGTATGAAGGATGCGAATTTTCACGCGTTTTCATCTCCGGAGAAAAGTGGTTAGGGTTAGCAATCCTGAACGCTCGCAACGTCCGTCCGCAACCGCGACGCCGTTAAAAGGCTGCGCCAGGCAAAAGCCGCTCATTTCTTTCAAAATGTGTGACACACTTGAGACAGAACTGTACTAGTCTGGTGAAATAAAGACTTTCCTCAAACTAAGCTTTATTTTTCATCTAACATAAAATAAATTCTTTTACAAAGGTAAGTTGTCTCATGGCATGTATTTTGGCCTGAAAAATTGATGTTTTGGTTATAGTGCGGTACCGCTTATAGTGCGGATTTTCGCGACTCCCGAGACATACGTTATATGCGGTCTACACTGTACTGAGGGAACGTCATATTTTACCTTCGGTTGAGAACATCCTCGGACGTCTCGGGCAAGCAAAGATTTTCTCGAAGCTGGACGCCACTGCAAGCTTCCACCAAGTGAGGCTTTCTGAAGAAAGTCAGGAGCTGACGACGGTCTTAACCCCGATGGGAAGGTTCTGTTTCCGCAGGCTGCCTTTTGGCATCTCTTCAGCGCCAGAGTACTGCGAGCGTCAGATGAGTCGCATTCTAGAGGGACTGGAAGGAGTTGTGAACATGATCGACGACATTCTCGTCTTCGGCGCATCAAAGGGCGAGCACGATCATCGACTCCAGCAAGTGCTGCAAAGGCTCGATGAGGCAGGCGTCAAGCTGAACAAGAAGAAGTGCAGCTTCGCTGCCTCAGAAGTCAAGTTTCTCGGCATGTTGGTCAGCGCGAGAGGAATCAGCCCGGATCCCGGAAAGATCGAGGCCCTGCAGAAGTTGCCGATACCCTCGGACGTCGGCGGGGTACGAAGACTGCTGGGAATGGCGAACCATGTGGGGCGCTTCATCCCACACCTCTCGGACGTCACGGCACCAATCAGAGAACTGCTGCAACAGCGCAACTCGTGGTACTGGGGGCCAAGCCAGCAAGCTGCTTTTGAGAAGCTAAAGAGCATGCTTAGCTCTCATATCTGCTTGGCCAAGTACAACCCGTCCTACCCAACAGTAGTTTCAGCTGATGCAAGCTCTTATGGACTCGGGGCCGTCATGCTTCAAGATCAGCCCTCCGGCGAGAGACGGGCAGTGGCCTATGTATCAAAGGCCCTCACCACCACCGAAACTCGCTACAGCCAGACCGAAAAAGAAGCCCTGGCTGTAACGTGGGCGGTCGAGCGCCTCGATCAGTTTTTGAGAGGCATCGACTTCCAAGTTGAAACGGATAACCGCCCCCTCGTCACGCTCTTGGGATCTGCGGAGTTGGATCTGATGCTACCTCAAATTCAGCGACTACGCATCCGCCTCATGCGCTACCAGTTCACCGTTCTTTATGTCCCAGGCAAACTTTTAGCTACGGCGGACACCCTGTCAAGGTCCCCGGTGCAGGAACTGGACCAGCACTGCCAACGTCGGGTGGACTCCATAGAACTCTTCGTCGGCGAAGTGGTTTCAGCAGCCGCTGATTTCGTGTCATCTTG